CCATTCATCTTGTTTTGTTGTGACCTGTACTTAGCCAAGTGTGGCAGAAATGTGCAGTAAAGGTCTTCATTCGATAAATTACGGACAACCTGTTACACAAATCTATCTTTGCACATTAACTGCAGTTAACGATGGTGCTTGCAAAATACGAGTTTTTGAACATCTCAATTATTGGTTGATAATTCTTATACATGTATTTGAAGGCATGACTGGTTCTTGTCCTTTTCTGGGCTGGTATCAGAAACTTATTATTTTTTTTATTTTATTCACCTGGATTTTTGAGCATTGGATAGGAAGCACTTGTTGTGCTTATGTAAATCCGCTGCTCATAAAACATAATACAAATGTACACATAGAGATGACATAAAGTATAACATAAACATAAAATGAAAGTGGCTGGCGCACCAATATCTATAGCATAACATTATTGAGAAACTTATGATGTTATGAACTTCGTATGTTCAGTGTCTTGCCCCGAAGGCTTCTGGAATGGGAACGGAATCTGCTACAAGATGTTCCACACTCCTTTGACCTTCACCAAAGCGGCCGAGACCTGCTATCGAAACGGCGGCACCCTCGCCATGCCCCGAGACGCCCTGGCCAACCTTCTTTTGAGCGGAGCCCATCGTTACAATTACTGGATAGGGCTGCACGACCAGCGCCGGGAGGGGTTCTTCGAGTGGATAGACGGCACCCCTCTAGGGGCCTTCATGATCACCCTGTGGGGTTCCGGGCAGCCTGACGACAGGAATCACGAAAATTGCGTCCAGTTTGTTCACAACCCCGACAGAGCAGAGTACTTCTGGAACGACCTGCATTGCTTTCGCATGCTTCCCTTCATGTGCCAAGTCATCCCAGGTACGCTTTACCTGAACGTGATATTTATTAGCAACATTGAAACATTTCATGGCGTAACGGTAGAGTGTTCGCAGTTTAACAAGAGGTCCCGGGTTCGAACCCTGTAACCGATCTTGTGCCCTAGGGAAAAGCACGAATTTCTTCACTTAACTCAGGTGGAAATGAGTATGTCTGTTGTCCGTGTGTTAGAACACACCAAGAGGTCCCGGGTTCGAACCCTGTAACCGATCTTGTGCCCTAGGGAAAAGCACGAATTTCTTCACTTAACACAGGTGGAAATGAGTATGTCTGTTGTCCGTGTGTTTGAACACACCAAGAGGTCCCGGGTTCGAACTCTGTAACCGATCTTGTGCCCTTGGGAAAGGCACACGAATTTCCTCACTTAACTCAGGTTGAAATGAGTATGTCTGTCGTCCGTGTGTTTGTTTGAACACGGTGTTGAAATGACGGCAATCCCGTTCATTCTCCCACAGGACAGACCTAGGCGTCAGGCTGACCTCTGACCGCCACTGCTGAACGGCTCCTGGACGGTCCTCTTTAAAACACGTCAACAGGCAGATGGGCTCAATGAAGGGACTCAGTAAGCAAGCTGGTTACTTCATGTTATCAAAAGTTTGTTCGGTTAGACTCTCATGCTGAAAATGAGTCATCCATGGATGATGACTATCATAATCAAGTAATTGGCGATGGTAGAGTTACTTTAACTTTAGGTTTATAATGTTAATCAACTTGTAGTATCCATCTATTAGTATTAGAGATTCAGAATGAACTGAACCTAGGCGACCAGTCGAACCCTGATCACCATTACTGAACGGCTCCAGTAAAATGCAATAATGGGCAGGTGGAAGCTAGAATTATATTACAAATGTAACTGTTTTGCACGACAACTGTACAAGGCACAACATATGGAATCTAGTGCTATATAACAACAACTATACTTTGAGACTAATCTAACTTACATGTACATAAGACCACGTAGTGTGGGATGAGAACATACTTTTCTAATAATTGGTGGAATACCTGACATTTAGGCATTTCTAAAAATATTGTCATGTGTGTACTGTACGATGTAGATTTCTTGCCAATGTCAGTATGCACCTTAACTTGCTATTATGCTATTTGAATTCATTCAGAGTGTAGAAAAGGATTGATGAATGCTAACCGACCATAGTTTATCAGTCAAGGAAAATGATCGTGTATCATTTCAGTGATATAATGATACAGTCGTGGAAGATGTAGAGAAGTGACATGTACAGCTTTGTACTAGTAAGCGTATGTTTTACTTTGTGTTTCTGTTGAAAGCAATGTATGCTAGGATTGCTGCAGTCTGAGACAAATACAGCATTTAATCTTTTAAGCTCAGGATGACAAAATATAAGGTTAGATTTGTGACAAAGAGCTAAAATTCATGATCCAATGTTCCTACCCATTTAATAGTTGTATTTGACGTCTAAGTCCAATTCTTGGAAAACACGTTAAGAAGCATCTCCCAGCTACAGAGGCAATATAAAGCTGCAAGAAAAGATGCATAAGGTAATGAAAAGAAAAAATGATGCAACTGGTCGAGTGCTGGATTCCAATGCTTACAGGTGACCTGAAAAATAGTCGAGTTTTTGTTGTTAAAAAGGGACGAATAAAAGTTTTAACTTCCCTCCAACCAAATTGTAGTTTCTATGTTAACTTTTATCTCATTACAGCTGTAGATATTAGCATGCAATAAGTTTGTAATTTTACTTCTAAAAGACTATGATTGCATTCGTATACCCTTTTCGCTAGGATGCTTTGAACATTAAGCTTTTAAGACGATTAAGCGTTTTAACGAAAGTTTTCTTATCAAAAGGAAACTTTGTTATTTATTATGTATAGGTTTCTTTCATCGTTTCTTTCAAATTCGTTAATGCGTAGGTGGTGTGCAAAATTCCATACAACAAGTTAAGGCTGGCGACGACTGTAGAAATAACTGCTCACCAGAAAAGGATAGAAAATGAAGACTTGAATGATGAAAGCGCTACGGTCAACTCGGTCAACTACCCTGGTCAACTCGGTCAACTCGGTCAACTCGGTCCACTACCCTGGTCAACTCGGTCAACTCGGTCAACTCGGTCCACTACCCTGGTCAACTCAACTCGATCAACTCGATCAACTCGGTCAACTCGGTCAACTCGGTCAACTCGGTCAACTCGGTCAACTCGGTCAACTCGGTCATACCCTGGTCAACTCGGTCAACTCGGTCAACTCGGTCCACTACCCTGGTCAACTCGGTCAACTCGGTCAACTCGGTCAACTCGACCACTACCCTGGTCAACTCGGTCAACTCGATCAACTCGGTCAACTCGGTCAACTCGATCAACTCGGTCAACTCGATCAACTCGATCAACTCGGTCAACTCGGTCAACTCGGTCAACTCGGTCAACTCGATCAACTCGATCAACTCGGTCAACTCGGTCAACTCGCACTGGGCGAAAAGGCCTCGAATGCAGCCATACACGCACAGGGATATTTACGCATTTTTAGCTAGATACAAGCGGATGCAAACGGATACGGGTAGGATCCGTAAAATATCCTAAATTTGCATTCTTAGGGATCCGGAATGTT